AGGTGAATACATCTCATTGTAATCACATAACTGGTGACCGTATGATTTAAGGCGAATATGACCAAACTCAAAGCAACATCGTCTTCGTCTTGCTTTCAAGAATTAAACGTGTTCTACTACTGGCTTGAAGTCTTTAGAAAATAAGATGTCCGAGCCAGAATGAGGCATACTCTTGGCTAGAGCATATTTGTGCAATGGTGTCCTACTAGGTGGGCTTCTTTGACTAGTTTCCTCAGCCCGCGCCAACTTGGCATAAGTTGAAGAGTTCAGAGACCCATCTGGGCTGATACATCGCTCCTTTCTGCTGTTTTGTCTTTGTTTCTACGCTAAAAGATAGGTTCTTGGAATAGAATTAATCGAAAAGAAAGGAAATGCATCTGCCAAATTGATGCTGGGCTAGAAGCAAGTTTCAACCATTGTAAGCTTGTAGATCCACTTTTATGATCCTTTACTTGACACCTTATAAACACTCATATTTTCGTGTTCTGCATTAATTCTAATAATTCACAGGATGGCCGTTTCAAACAAATGCCAATTTGCTGGGGGGTAAACGAAGGAGGCCAAATCAAAATGCTTTCTTTTTCACTAACCATTGAGCAGGATTACCTCGGATGCTTCGAATCTTGTTCTCAAGTAAATAGGTGAGCTGAGACAGAACCGGACGGAAGTCCCTACTGCCTATAATCTCGACAAGCGTGTCCCGTTGTTTGGCCAGCTTACTGACTTTGAGATTCCAGCCCGACTGAATGTCTGCATTTTTGCATTTTATTCTCTGCGACTTCTTGTTTCCCCACGCAGCCTCCTCCACAATTTTGACACATTCCAGCTCTTGTGCCTTTGCATCCCCGGCCAGCTTGGTTGCGTCAAACATGGCGTTGCAGAGTGCAAACTGTGCCAACTCTTCCACATTGGACAGATAGTTGGAAAAAAGACCCATTATCTGAAACTTCTTAATGTTCCACGAACGCATGAATCGCGTTTGTACCCGTGACACTTCGACCTCTTTAAATAAAGTGCCTTCTATCCTGGCCATAGCATCTTCATGCTGAACCACTTTATGCAATGCACTGACAAAAGGCTTCCTCTCCGGTGAAACCATAAGGGAAGAGCTCCCGGCGCTGCTACTGCTGGTAAGCTCATTAAAACTGGCACTCGAAATGGGAAATGTAGAATCTGTCTGGCCAGAATTGGAGAACAATTTACTCATAAATGTATCAATCGTGTTCGTCCCAGCATAGGCCATCTCATCCTCTGGTTTGATATAAATTTTAGCCCTGAAAAAAAAAATCTTTAATTGCAATGATATTCGCATTACATCTATTAATCAATTATGCACAGCTAAGGCCTCCTTATAGTATGCTATTTCAAAGAGTTGGCATAACAAAGAAGTAAAGAGAGCCAGAGTTAAGCATACGTCTATATTAAAACATGATAAAAAATTGCAAAGCTAATTTCCTGTTGAAAACCAGCTTTTTCACTCCACGACCTATAAATCAACTATTGGTAAATTGGTTTTCCATTTACACAATTGAGGATATGCCCAATGATCAAAGGTGATCCTCCATTGGTATAGGAGTAAAACACTGACAAAAACGAAGCTGAAGTAAATTTAAAATGAGTGGAGAATGGCTTTTAACGCTGATGTCCTATTAATAGAGGTAAAGAGTTTCCGTGTGGATGCTTTTGCATGGAAGCTGGTTAAAATATGGGAGAAGCATCTCGCGAAAACATCAAGTAAGTATAATTAGAGGAAACACTGAAAGAGAATGTCGAAATGATGGACATATCAAAAACATTATACGATCAACAATAAGCTTAGGATGTATTAAAGTTTAGATACCTTAATTCTCCCACTAAATTTACTCATTAGAACATCATTCAATCTCATATCCAACAGAATTTATGAGAGGTTGTTTGACCTTGTTTTCGTAACATAGTCATATTGGTAGGAAGACTTAGAGGAACGCACCTAGTCCGGAGTCCATTGTATGCATGATCATTTCC